CGCGTCGTAATATGTGTGGACACGACAGAACGTATAAAAGTATAAAATGGTTGTTTGCGGTGCTCCGAACAAACACCATGGATTAATATGAATATTAATTAATAAATAAATATTTATAGCATGTGGGGGGGGTCCAGGGATGATATGGAAACCAGTGGGCAGAGGATGTAAATTACACAGCTGTGAAACACGCAAGAGTCACATAATTTAGGTAAGGGATTGAATGATTCAATTACAGTAGAGCAGCATCTTGGGGGGTCAAAATTAAATTAGGATAGCAACTAACGTAATTATTTAAAAGTTGTTGGACCTTGTAAAAGCATGTATGTGTAAATCGCGAGAATTTGAATGCCTGATGAATGCGACGTTGTTTTGGGAAGGTCAATGGCAGCTTTATACATGTCGTTGTGGGTATATATGCTCATATTTTAAGAAATTAAAAAATATCTGTAAAGCTTATTTTTCTTGCCGCAAGGCGCTATATCTTCTCTCGTGGATTTGTGGGGGGGGGGGGGGGGTCCTCTTTTTGAGTCTCGGAGAAAAAAATTTTCTTGTGGCTGGGATATGAAATGAAATATAAAAATGTCAGCAAAATTAAAAATATCTGACTAGGGAGATACATTTTATTTTAAGAATTATTTTATGCGGACGCTGGCTTGCATAGACAGATGAGAAATAAAGAGGGTAAATTAACTAACTGTACTATGTTTCTTGATTACACGGAATGAAAATAGCAGGGAAGTGAAATAGACAAATATTTCGTATTTATAAGATGGATTGAACTATTATTTTACTTCGTCCTCTTGTCTCAGCTATGCTGGTTAAATCACGTCTCCTGCCCCTCTTTGGACATCTCTCTCTTTTTCTTTTCTTTCTTTTGGGTATTCTTTGACAAGTAACTTTTTTACTATCGGCATGCAGATAAAACAAGAGTCATTATGGTGTTTTTCAACCATGAAATAGGGCAGTTTTGTATTTTAATTTTATGATTTTTAAGACAAAAAATAACAACCACTAGATTTTAATCCCCCGCTTTCTATCGTGAAATGGCCACCGTCCCGTGTTTGGAGGCGGGCAGAGGTTTCAATTTCTAAAATTATCGATGGATGGCGAATAAATTGAGTACTCGTGAATGTGCGTTTTATTTATTTCCCTTTGCACAGTTTTGTTGTCTTTTACTACCGCCTGCCCTTAACACAAGGATCGTTAAATTTTCAACTTAGTACTAAATATAAGATCTTTTTTTATTTTATTTTTTATATTTATTTATTTTAAAACATTTTCTATAATACGTATACCTGTTTAAGGTTTCATCAAGTAGTAATTTTAACTAATATATATGATTAATAAGAATATTTTTTTAAAAAATAATACCTATTTATAATAAATAACTAACTTTTTAAATCTCTTTATTAAAGATAGAAAGTATTACCTTATACACAGTGCTGAAAATCTAAGCTTACAACAAGCGACAAAGTCAAAAATGAAGCGATCACAGGGTGTCGGCTTTGGTCGGCAGTACACAGCTTCTTCCACCCTGCTCTATTTCGTATGTCGTTTCCTTCTTTGAAATAAAGTTTAGGATGAAGCAACAACCACATTTGGGATTGTTGCTACGACCAACAGTACTATAGTATAATTTGATGTGACTGTGATTTAAAAGGGTTACAAGTATTCTAATTTGAATAAATCAAATACCGAAGCTTCTTGATTATCGCTTAATTAAACCATCTAGTACCAAAAAAGAAGAGATTACTTTTAATATACTACTATTTTAACGGGAATGAATGTATAATATATCACTGGGGTCAGATTACTACTGAAGTTTCTTCTGGTTTATTGTTCAAATACATGGCCGTATGTTTACGTGCGCACATGACGACATATTATGAAACGAAAAATATATTACCTCTCACTCCTCCAAAAGGGGAAAAGAAAGGGATTTAAAAAAAACAGTGACCGCAACACAGACCTCGTATATCCCTCACACCCATTAAGGTAACCCACCTATATTTTATTAGTTGGTATTGTCAATGAAAATAACAAACAATGGGAAAAAAATATTATATTCACTCGACCCTGCTTGGAACATTAATCGAGTGGTGCAGTGACTCATGCAAAAGCATGATGCAGAGAATACAGGAAATTATTATATAAAATATAACAACTATAATAAATTAATAATAGGTATTACTACCTATGCATAAGGATTAGTTAACAAATTTGACGAGATTAAAAAAAATTAATTAAGTTAGTTATTTATAATAAATAAGTATCGTCTTTTTTAAAATATCCTTATCAATCAAGTGTATTAGCTATAATTATTATTATTATTATTATCTTAAAAAATAAATAAGTATGAGAAACAAAATAAACTGCAGTTTTCTATTTATGACAAAAATAAAAATTAAACTAACTCTTATATAAATTATGTTAAATAATACTCCTCCGGTCCTTATTATAAGACCCAATTTGACTTTTTATTTGGTCATAATTATAAGACCCAATCCATTTTCTCTTTTATATTTATGCATTTTTTCCAAGATAATCCTTCTAATAATGATAGTTTTAGCTAATATACTTAATTAGCAAGGATATTTTAGGAATAACAACACTTATTTATTATAAATAACTAACTTAACTTACTTCCTTAATCTCCTCAAATAAATTAATTGGGTCTTATAATTAGGATCGGAGGAATAGTTTTTAGTGGGAACGTTTTGTTATTGTTCAGATTCGAGACATGGAAAAGAAAAGTGGACAAAGGAGGGCGCGTCATACAACGAGTGAGATGCGCTGGAGATAGGGCGGCTGGTGGGGACCTTTCATGTGCCCACCCCATCGCCCCATTTTTGTCGCCCTCTCCTCTCCTCTCCTCTCCTTAGTCATTTTGCTGATTTTATTTATCAGTCATTCTATGCGTCTATTTAATAGTATCTCTTATTTTTAATATAAGACTTTATTTGATTCTTATTTTAATAATAACTATAAGATCTTAATCTAATTTATACATTTTTCTAAAGATAGTTCTTCTAACAATAATAGTTTTAGCCAAAATACTTGATTAGTAAGGATATTTTAAGAAAGACAATATTTATTTATTACAAATAACTAACTTAACTTATTTTCTTAATCTCTTTAAATTAGTTAATTAGTTATTATAAATAGGACTAGAAGTAGTACTAAAGAGCATAATCTGCTAATGGCCTCCTCAGTTAAGCTCCTTAACTACGCTGGCTCGTTTTTCTTCAGGAACCAGACATGTTCAGTGAATCACCTCCTTAATTTAATCATGTATTCATGTATGTGTGTAGTATGTAACTTGAAACACCCACCCACCCATATATCACTCTCGCTCTACCGAGACAAATCGATGCTCCTAAATTGCAGGACTGAAGATGTGAAGGATGATCAATTTTTAATATTTGCAAAGACCCGTTATTTTGCATTATTTTTTTTGGCCTGAAATTCTTTTGTATCAGTAACTCATCAATTAATCTTCTGTTTCACCAAGCAAGAGGGCAAATGTAGAAGGGAAATCAACCCCTCTGTTGCCTCCGTAACAAAAGTAATTCGCAATAAAAATTAACTTGTGAAGAAAATCATTTATTATGTTTTACATAACGGCCACGAACTTGCACATACTCTACTTTTTAACCCGTTGTTTCCTCATCGGTAAGTACGTATACGACGATACTCATCCTAAATGACAGCGCAGAAAATTGAAAATGCATACTTAAATAAAAACACTATATGCTTTAATTTAAAACGACTCCTTAGCTTGTTGATGAGGAGAAATAAGTTGGGTGCGCCAAGGACAACGGGCTGCCGTCTTTATCTTAGAAAATGGTTTTATTCATCACGTGATACAATTTAAAATAATTCTAGCTATGTTATATTTCCCCCGATAAAACATATGAAATTATATCCGCACTGTACTTCAACGCAAAGAAATTCCCTTTACACTAGTTGAATTACTGCTGCTAATATCCTCACGTAATATTCAGTCTTGAGTGGGAAAAAGTTATGACAAGCTTATAGCGTTCAAGTTCAAGAGTGAAGAAAGGCATTTACACAGACCTTAAAGTGAGTTTAATTACAGAAATTAACAATTTTCTAGCGATTAGTACCTTGTATCATATGCAGAGTTTTTGCCCATTAGGTGGGCAATACACATATATACGCAGCAGTACCGGAGAATGGTAAGGAAATTAGGTGGAGTGTGAATGTTAATGGCTTCAGGTGTGCGCAAATATCTCATTCATCAGAAAGACAATTCATCTACCATACAGATATCAAATGACGTGCCCAATCGTATCTTTATTTATTTATTTATTTTTTGGTAAATTTATTAGGTTAATTGGTTAATGCGCTATAGCTTGGAAACACGCATTATCATAATCATCTTTATCACTTTTGCTTTCGGAAAATCCAAGATTCCCACCAAACATGTTTTAAGCCCGTATGATTTGTACTGCTTTATATTGCTTTTAGCCAATTTTTTTTCTACGGTACATATGAACCGAGCTGGCTAGTTGAATTGCAGTGGTTGATTATATAATCATGATTATCACGATCATTATCGCGGGTCCCCTGCTCTCAAGATAAACATCAAGTTTTTTCATGAAGTTAAATGGCAATATCTGCACTTTAACCTTTCCTTCAACTGAAAGTTTTGTCATTAAACATAAACACGTCATCGCTTATTCGCTTTTCCCCCTTGGCATCGAATGCACGCTAACAACATAACAATGGAGAGATTTTTTTTTTCTTTCTTTTTTTCATTTCTGTATTACCTATATCTGTTTTTTTGCTTCCAAACGTTCATGTACATTCACCAAAAGTAAAATCATAAATCACAAGTATACTATATCGCCACATTCTAAATTATAAATTTAATTGGCCTAAAAATGATTTTAAAAAAAAATTGCTTTCCTTAACCCCAGGCATTCCTGCAGGGTTATAATAGTTTCTCGTTGATTCATATGGTGTGTGTTTTGACCGTCTTGTTTTTAATTAGCCATGTCCATAGAAGTCATATATTTTTTCACTCGAAAAAAGGTCATATATTTTTATTTTACAGCAAGCTTCTGTGCGGAAGGGATCGGTGGCCGAAGAACGCAGGCGGCTGATGTCTCCTTTGGGTGACGACGAATTAGGTTTGATGCTGAAATGGGTTTGTGACGGAAACGACAGGAAGTCCTTTTCCCAAGTCTGCAAGCACTGGCCGCGTCTGGAAGGTCTGACCCGTTCCTCCTTACGGATACTTGAACCCGACTCACTGCCGACCATCTTGCCCAGATTCCCTAATCTTCGCAAATTCGAATCTTCAAAGTTAGTCACCGACCATCACCTACAAATTTTAGCCCAATCTTGCCCCAGACTCGAGGTAATTAATCTCAATTTTAAAGCAACACGGAATTACTGATTATTCGGACGAACCATCGTGTTTCAAATACGTCGGAGACGACGGTGCGCGCGCTTTGGCCGCTGGGTGTAGCGGGTTGTCCGAAGTTCTGCTCAGGAGAAGAAGGAGCATTGGGAACGACGGAGTTATTTCAATTTGTAATTCAGCGAAGCATCTGGGGCATTTGGACTTGGGTTGGTGCAATTTAATTACGGACGAAGCCCTCGAAGCAATTTCTGGGGCGACATGCATTACTGTTCTGAATCTGCAAGGCTGTTCCCTGATCACGGATCGTGGGTTAACATATTTAGCATCGGGATCTTCATCTAAGTCCCTGAAAAAGTTGATTCTGGCAGAATGCGATCGAATCACGGACTCCGGCGTGTGTCTTCTGCAGAAAAGTCATCATTTGGAGGAGCTAAACTTAGCAGAATGTGGGCCTAAGGTGACAGACACAGGATGCTCTGCAATAGCGGAAATCCAAACTCTAAGGAAGTTGAATCTGTTGTGGATGGTTAACGTATCAGATGGAACAGTGATTGCACTGGCAGAGAACAGCAAGAACTTGTTGGCCGTCGATTTCACAGGATGCGAATTGATAACCGGAGCTGGCATTCGTGCTTTTGCCAACCATGGAAGTTTGGAAGTTCTAGTTTTAGCTTCTTGCTACAACATGTGTGCAGATGATCTAGAGCACACGGTTGTCAGGTGCAAGTCACTGAGATATATTGTGCTTGATAAAGGACTTAGAATGTGGATCCCAGCCACCACGCAAGACAATATTAGCAGATTCTGCGAGTTGCATTGGAGATGAATTCTCAAAGGGTAAAAGGATAAGGAAAAAATGATGGGTACCTTTTTGCATAGTTCATTTCAATTTCGTTGAGTCATTCTGCCTAAGGCGGCGAAGCAGATACCTTGCGCTTTCTTCTCTTGGCGCTTCGCACTGCTTACTTAGAAGGTGGATTCCATGGCCTTTTTTCAACACGTGAAGGTTGTGTTAAAGCTCTTAGATAGTTAGAGTACTCGAGTGTGCGCGCGCATTATGAGCTGTTCTATACTTGGGTGCCTTAACTGCGTTTCCAGTCACATGAATGAACATGTTGGATCATGGTATATGTGAAATCTATTTTAGTAGATAACGATGTAGGTTCATGTGTATATGTCATGTAAAGCTGTATGAGGGTGAAAGTGTTAACTAGACTATATGGATGACGATGATTAGAGACTTAGAGGCGTCAGTACGATATTTCACTGCCACGCTTAATTCAGGAAGTATTTGACTTCGATACCTCACGCTGAAGTGACTTCTTAACGATTGACGTCTTTCTCTGCATGTGAGGGCATTCTGAGTTCTGATTCTAAATTATTAATCAAGCCATCATCGCACAGATCCAGCAGCACCTTGATGGGATGTAATGTTATGAATTTTGAATTTTCAAATAGTTAAGCCTCACCGTTATTCAAGTAAAAAAAAAAAAAACTGAAAAGGACTCATCAATGTCCATCTGGGTCATTCAACTCCATAAGCCCAAACAAGCACACCTGAAGCTGGCACCTCCACCATCGCAGTGGCCCTTTACCAGCTTCAGTTCACCACCAACCCAATAGAACATACAGGGACAAGTAGAGCTGGTAAAACGGGCCAACCCGCGGGTTGCGGGTTGGCCCGTGGCGGGTTGTGGGTTATACGGTGCGGGTTCAAAAGGCCCGTTTTCTGGCGGATTGGCATTTTGCCAACCCTAACCCGCCAAGGTGGGTTGGCGGGCCAACCCACCAACCCGCCAGAATTTTTATTTTTTTTTTCTTGCCTTTTTTTTAAAATTTTTCTTATTTTTTTAAATGTTAGCAATTATATATAATACAAAATAAAAATACTAGAAATGATATAAAATATTATAAGCATCCAAATAAAAATTACAACACAATAAAATACAAATAGTATATGATTGTCCAATTTTCCAACATGATAATACACAAGTTCACACATTTTTTTTCAATGAAACCAATGAGCAATACTGAATAATCTTCTTTATCTAATTATTTCTAATGACAATAAAGTTTGAAGTAAAAATTTGCTTTACTTTTGTCTTTGTTATCTATTTTTTTTATAAAAAAAAAATAGGTGGGTTAACCCGCGGGTTGGCCCGCGGGTTGGCGGGCCAACCCACCACGGGTTAGGGTTATGGCGGTGCGGGTTATGTTTTTCAAGGTAGTGGCGGGTTGGCGGGTTGGACCCGCGGGTTCAACCCATATTACCGGCTCTAGGGACAAGGGCTTTACGAAGGTTTGAGATGATTATCCGCTTCATTTCCAGTTTACTCATGGATTTAGGTTATTTTGTTCCGGGCATTAGCCAAAATCTTCTGGGGGTTCTCAATTTCTAATCTGTAGTTTGCATGCATGGTTTGGCACCATCTAATCACAAGAAGCTGGAGAATCTGAACCAAAAAAAAAAAGGTAGAAAGAAAAAAAATAAAAAAAATGGACCATCAGTTGTCTGGATTTAATCCCCATTTGTCTAGTTTTCTTCTAATTTGGGGTCAGCCATCTTGTACATTAGCATAAATTCCTTCCATGTGGATTTTTTTTTTTTTTTTGGAAAAAAAGAAGAAATAATCGACAATGCGCTAAGCCATTGTTCGCCGGGGCAGCTGAGAGTGAGGCTGTCATTTTCTCTTGATAAAGTGAAAGAACTCGAATATAAAAATTACAAAACGAAAGTAAGCAAAATCTTGCATAAATTTGAACGGCGCTTGCACCCACCCACAGTCCCGCTTTCTGTTGAATCGCAGGGATTAAGCAACGACCTTCCAGGGCGGGAAATAAATTTGGTTCATCCCTTACCATGAGAGCAATTGGAGCGGTGCTTCACAGCTTCTCAATTGGCGTCTTGTCCAGACGCAACAATGCCTTCTTTCTGCACAGTATTCTCTGCGCCTCTTCTTCTCTGAGCTTTTTGTATTAGATGGCGATTCCCGAAACATATTTAGAGACCTTTGTGATTCAGGGACTAATTTGCTGAGCAGAGGTTTATCGTCTGCATCTTCTTTGTCATCGGTGGATGCGATCCAAGAAGTGAATTGTAATAACAACTTTCAATCTAGAACGATATGGACATTCCCTCCCGTCTGTATGGGCAGACGTTCCAGCAAAATTGCTGGCAGAAAGGTCGCTCTAATCTCTCTGTCTATGCCTACCCCTGGCCTCAAACGCATTTTTATGAGTGGAGAAACTCCTCCTACTCCTACGACTTGATGTTCCGCTTATTCAGCTGATTATAGATGTCTCCACCGCAAAGTTAGCAAATACTTTTCTGGCTTCCTCTTCGTCTTGACTCATTTTGGAATAAGCTGGCCATACCTGACCCGTTTTTTCTGTGTACGCTATGTGTTTGATAAAAATCCTATGACATTATGTATTACTTGAAGCCACAATTTTACTGTCTTAATTCTTAAATAATTCTTTCGTCGTAGATTCGTTCACCAAAAAAGATAATTCAGACAAATGACATCGTTGAAGTTTTCATAACGCTTCAAGGGAGGCTGGAGGCCTGGTCTTACAATTTATCCCCCCCCCCCCCCGCGGGGGGGGATTCACTGTATTGTATTGTATTAGAAAAATATGTGATTTTCTCCCTTAGGTCTTGGTTAACTGAATTTGTGTTCATCATAAGAGGGGAAAAATAAAGATATTTGTGTAACTTTCGACGAATAATCATATAAAAGTGGTGAACTTTGTAATGGAAGAATAAGTGATTGTAATTATTCCGGGAAATGTACTTATGGCTGCTTTGTGCCCTTAATTTTCTTTTTTTAGGATGCAGTTGGCGCTTAGTGCACACTTTTCTGTGATTTTGATCTGCTAATCTGCAAAAACATTCTTTGAAATCTTCTACTTACGAAATACCATATTTGCCTTGTATGCAGGAAGCTCAAGATGCTAAGAAAGCAAAGTTATATTCACGGATTGGAAAGGAAGTTGTGTCTGCGTAAGTCATTCTTCAACTCACATGTGGTTCAGTTGGCCAAGATGGTGAACTTTATTATGTTGTTATAGGCGCAAAAATTTTATGAGTGAGGTATTTATCAAATCATTCTTCATTAAACAGCCAGGTCTAAGCAATGTACATATAGATGTAAAGTAGCTTATTTGGTCATCTTTTTATCTTCTTTAGATTTTGCTTAACTGTGTGCAGGACCCTTTCTGTCAGTAGATCAACATTTATTATGTACTCCCTTCCATCCTAATTATAGGGCAAGGTTCTAAAACCCTATTTGGTCCTAATGATAAGGCAAAGATGTAGTAGTTAATTTTTTTCCCCATATTGTGCTTCGTTAATTGAACAAAGTTATTATTAGCATGCTTTTTAATTTCTAGAAATACTGTGTTGTAGTTATTTATATCATCGAAGGGTAAAATTGAAAAGTTACATATTTTCCTACAAGTCTAAGGATATTACCTACCATTCCTTAAGAACCGTGAAGTTAGTTAACTATACCATATAATTAGGATCAGGGTGAGTAGTTTATAATGGTTTCAAGTTCTAACTAGAGGGTTCTGCAGTGTCCTAATTTACTTTATTGATTTGGATACCACTCGGCACAATTTTCATCATACTGAATGCCAGGGTGAAGAAAGGTGGTCCAAATCCAACATCAAATTCAGTTTTGGCTGCTGTACTTGAGAAAGCCAAGGAACTTGATGTGCCAAAAGATATTGTTGAGCGCAACATCAAAAAAGCTTCTGAGAAGGGACAAGAAACATACATTGAGAAAATATATGAGGTTATTAAAATTATTCATGATTTGGTGTTAGGGGGTTTGCATTTGGTGATTTTATACAGGGAATGTTATTTAACCTCGTGACTTGCTTCTTTTATGCTTCAGGTATATGGTTATGGTGGAGTTAGTATGGTAGTTGAAGTCTCTACTGATAAAATAAATCGTTCAGTGGCAAAGATTAGAGAAGTGGTGAAGGACTATGGAGGAAAGATGGCAGATTCTGGATCTGTCATGTTCAAGTTTAAACGTGCTCGGGTGGTGAGTATAAAAGTCACTGATGCTGACAAAGATCAGCTCCTTGCGATTGCTTTAGATGCTGGGGCTGAGGATGTGATTGAACCTCCAACTTCTGAAGATGATACTGAGGAAGATAGGTTGGACAGGTAATCCTTGTTAGTGATTCCGGGCAATATATAGATAAGCTGCTCTTATATTCTCTTCTGGGTTCTCCGCTCTGCCTGGAAGATGGTAGGTCAAACTCATGGACTTGGAGCTAGACTGCTAGAGACATCAGCCATGCTGAGGTCAGACATTTAGGTTATTGAATTTTCAACCCAAGTACAAGTGACGTTTACATCTACACTTCTGGAGATTGCACCTATCAGCTTAGAAATTTTTTCTTCCATTTAGTGAAGAAAAAGCTGTCTAGTCTCATTAAATGACGGATAATGAAATTTAAGATGCATGGAGATAGAGGCAGGTAGGCTGCCTTGAAACTCCATGTTTTCGCTTGTGAATCAATGATTTCTTATCCACTCCCTATGGTTTATGGGTATTCTCATCTCATATTTATGAGTAACGGCATAGCACGAATTTGTTGATTGACTGAGGAAAAACTGAACAAGTCAATAGCTGATCTGAAGATCTCTAAGACATGATATATGTTGACTGTTGACTATGTAGATTGTAGGCCCTCTCCTTTTTATGACTATTCCTATTTCAGTGGTTGGGATATAGCCGCTGCTGTTTTTTTGGTATACAACTGGAGATCAGTGAAATTTGGATCTCCAAGAATGCATGATGCAATGTTTGTTTCTCCTGACAGGTATTATAAAATTGTGGGCTCATCAGAGAACTACTCAGCTATACTATCAAGATTGCGAGAGGAAGGCCTAAATTTTGAGCCTGATAACGGATCTGAGCTTCTACCGATTACCACCATTGAGGTTTGTCTCAGTGCATACGCTATTTGTTTCCTTTGGGTTTAGTTTCGCTTTTATCCTTTGCCCTTTGATCTATTTTCCAGTGCATCGTCTTTTAAGAAGCTTTCTTGGGGGCTACATAATAGACTTGCTATCAGTTAATTACTTTTTTTCCATTTTGAGTCACAAGCCCTATTGTGTTTTCTGCTCAGGCTGATTTCTATAATAAAGATTATTAACTTCGAATTTGCTACAAATTTATGTTGTTAGCGGTACTACAAATTATTGAAATTATAAAGAACCGTTCAGTAACCCAGAGGGAAAAACTATATCAATAAATATTGGACCGATCCATTTGGGATAAGTGGCTGTGGAGAGCTCCAGCAGCTTTCCCTTCGTACATGAAAACTGGCTAACTAGTAGTCATTAATAAAAAAAGAACCGAGACTGTTAGTCTTATCAACTATATAATAAGGATTTTTTTCCCTTTTTTTCTTTTTTTCATTTGAACCATTATTTTATGGTCTTCTGTATCTCTATTTAACTTTGAAGTAAAATCTACCCCTTGAAATTTTTGTTTACCTATTCCTTCTCCAGAAAGAAATGAAGAAAGAAGCTGACCATTCAATTATTGTTGGTTTTCAGGTAGATGACGAGGCTATGGAATTGAACAAGGAACTTATGAGCAAGTTACTTGAGCTTGATGATGTTGATGCTGTTTATACAGACCAGAAATAGCCATCTCTTAGCTTTTTAAAGCTGCTCAACTCAGTCAAGTTTTGACATTGGGAAATCATACATGTTTCATTAGCAAACCATTAGGTACTCTCTTGAGTTCTTGCTTTATGCGGGGATCTCACATGCATGCTCCTTAATTTCTTTTTCTTTTTTTTTTGGTTGGCTTCCACATTTTTTTGGTGGTCATTTTGTGGTGGGGGAGGGGGCCATTGGTTATTCTTTCCCAGGACCTCACAACTGAGTTAAAGCTCAGACTGAGCAATTGTGATCTTGAATGACAAAATGTTGTTTATATGATAATATATTAATAAATGTTATTCTTCATTCTTTATGCATTTCATTATATTCAGCCACTTTTTCTTTGCCGCTGGCTGCTTGGATTTCAGTCCACTGTTTCGTTTGCTTGAAGATGTTTGCGAAATGTGTCGTGGCATTGTCGACCAAATATATTAAATGTTTTAAAGAATAATTAATGTCTGTATTTGTCAATCGGTAAACCGAGAAGCTAAGATATTTTCAGTAATGTCGATCACCTGTTTGGTAGGTATGATGTGTATATATTCATATGAAAATTAATCAAGCCAACCGGTGCGATTCTATCCGTTGCTGGAGTCGGGAGAATGGTCCGTCGATGCTTATATCAAACCATTATTGTATGTGGGGATTATTATGTTTGGAAAGGTTTCTTAACTCTTTATTTGAAGTCCAAACATCCCATATGGCATCTGTTGAGCCTAGTTGAGCATGCAGTGACAACCTTCCTTTCATATTTCTGATTACATTCTTCTAGGGGAAGATAAAATATATAACACATGCGTACATGATTTTTATACCCCGAGACACCATAATGACACAGGGTACGTGGTAAGAAAGTGCTATCCTATATGGGGAAGAAGAATCCCTAATCGCCACTTGTATCGTACACACTTAATTTAAGCATATGCTAGTCATTATGGTCACAGCTACACAATACATAGATTGAAGCGTGGAGGTGGGAGTGATCTTGGCGCATTCATATTGTGTTATATATAGGACTTTGAGGAAGTTGAAGGGTTCAGTGTTTACTAGGAAGGAACCCAGCATCCATGCAGTCCGTATGGCAGTGCGTAAGGGAACTTGGCCCTGGCAATCTCTTCAAAGCTGGAACCATCTAACAACAACGCATATCCCTCTCCGTTTCTTCCACTTACAATGGAGACAACCACGCCTGCCATGGTTTATTTCATTCATGATGTTAGAGGTTATATATTCACAATCTAAGACATAAATATTAGAAACACGACGATCGCTGTCGAGGATGTTACCATCGTCTTCTTCTGTAGCTCCAGGTCGAGCCACGAAGAAGGGTTCTGACGGAACAGCGCCTTCCTCGTACCAATTCTTTGCCTTCTTCTCCACGAAGTCAAGCTGCATTAGTTATTTGTTACATATTCTGTTGCTATAACTCATGAGCGTGCTCACCTTAATAAATCAAACAGTACAGAAGCAAACCAACCTTGGTGAGGGTGTTGGGGAAGTTACAAGGGCGCTTGGCTCCACACGCGTAAGCATATCTGTATTTCTTGCCCAAATAATTAGGGTTGATACTGCACATGTCCATTCCTCTCCCGTGCTCATCTGCCTCTAATGCTGCCTCTAATGTCCCATATTCACTCCCGTCCAGAGGTATTCTGAACCTTCCTACCCTGTCATTTCAAATCCCTCTCCTTTAATACAATCTCACATATATGTGTGTGTGTGTGTGTGTGTGTATTAAATCAATATATATCTTTATTTAGAGACACACAGACACACCTGGCATCCGGCAGTACATCTTGGCCGATGAAGGAGCGGAGGTTCTGAAGCCTGAGCCTGTCGAGAATGGCGGTGTCAGAGTTATGCTCACAGCAATCTGCAATAATGCCCCTCACTCTTCCATCTTCATCTTCTTCTTCGTATGCATTTATGAAATGGAACGTCACGAACAATGGCACTTCTACGCTTGTCACCTTCCAAGTCGTCATCAACATCAATGCACTGTGAGAACTAATCCTTCACCATGAAACTAGATGAAACAGACAATTTATACACACACACACACACACACATAATCAACTTACTATTTTTCCACTAGTCCTGCACATAACATGAATAAAAGCTTTGGATTTAGGGTGCCACTCGAACTTGTACAATGGCGTGGGTTCAGCTCTCAGCAAATTCTGGGCACAGTATCTCAGTGGCATTTCAGGCACAATAACGTAGTGCTCAGTCACCGGAAACGAGTGGACCCAACCTGGTGCCGGTCCGCCCCGACAATTAACCCGTCCTATCACTTTCCGTTCATTCGACCCGGCTTCCATCCTCGCCACCAGATACCCAGGGTTAATCAGGTCTGGTAGTAACGTCAGGAATTCTTCGTCGGTCACAATAGGGTGTGCTGAGTGGATCAAACCCCCCAGAGTGTCACTGTAATCAAATCTCCCCAGCGTCTCCAATGTGTTTGGGTCTATCACGATGGAACCTTTCTGGGTCTCCGTCAGGCAAACCACACGTCCGTCACCGAGCTTCACGACGCCGGTGTTTGCGTTATCTGTGAGCGAAGCGCCTGAGAAGAGATTAGCAAGCTCACCCACGTAGGCTAAGAAATTGTCAGTCTTTGGGACTTCGGAGAATTCACGATAACAAAGCTTTTGGTTCTTTTTAGCAGCTCGATAGGCCTGGGATTCCACTTGGCGGTGGCCGGCGACCAACCGGCCATTGTCAAACTGAAGCTTGACCAGAGTGGCGTAGCCGTCAAAAAGGTGCCTGAAGTTGTAGTCCCCTATGTGCCACAACCCTGGACCATTCCTCAGGTACGTTCCTTTCTGCATGTTATTTTAATACGATTAATAATACAGATACATCCAAAAGGACAGGTTTATTTCTGTATTGTCAATACAATGATTATGAATTTAAAAGACAAAGTAACCCCTTTAGTTTCTATCATTTTTCTTAAATTGTTGCCCTTGCATGTTACGTTAATTACGTGACTCGTCAAAATTACATTTTGATTTTTTGTGTTAATTTAAAACAATAAAATATCATATTTAAAACTTATCTATTAAAGTAATTGCTGAAAGTATTATTTTGAGAATTTATATATTATGAAGAATCATACGGATCATGGAGTGTTAAAATAACACAACTGAAGACGATCTGCAGAAAAAGAATAAGTAAGGAATATATGAAAGTATATGTTAACAGTTTGCTTGATCTTGTAGAACTAAACTAATATAATTATTTAGGAGAAAACTTTGTCGGCTTCCCTGATGACACAGAATGAGGACAAATTAACTGGCCGGGAAATCGATGCGATTCCCACGTATTACGTGAATCACTATCAACTCTGTTGAACGTATAAAAGCCACAGGAGAAAACAAGGTTTCTTGATGATGACAAGGACGATTCTCTTCACTATGCGTTTCATTTGTACCCCTTGACGATAGATCTAAATTCTCAGGTTAATTAAAATTTAAAATTCACTGCATGACATCTTCAAAGTTTTAAGTATTTAGAATTTCTTCTGCGCACATATCTGTTGAATGGTTTTTTGAGAGAGAGAAAGAGATAGAGATGACCAGGCAGTTTAAGGGGTGTGTGTCTATATATGTGTATATATAAGCGTGCATACCAGCCATGATGGTATCCGTCCTTGGACGTGGAGTTCCCCTTCCCATCTCTCTTGAGGGATGCTAGTCCATGCAGGATGCTGGCGATCGCCGGTGGTCTCCGATCTCTCAGTTGGCGTCGTCAGTGGCGGCGGAGCAACCGGAGGCGATGGACTGGCAACATTAGTGACAGTCAAGTCTGGTAGGAAACTGCGTTGAGTTCTGAAGAAGCCCTTGTTTCCCGGAAACAACGGAAACCCACCCTTTTTGCTGCCATCGGAAACCGCCATTGTTGGCCATGGAATGGAGTTTTTGATGGGAGTAGTGAAGTTTGCGAAAGTCATGAAATTGTTTCTGAAGGAGCGAGGGAAGATGATCTAGGAAGGAGTAAGCGTGGTTGAGTACGAAGTGGGGGAGTGTGAGTCAGGTATTTATAAGAGCAGCTCAGGGATGGATGAACGCATATCATTGATCTGAGAATGAAAAGCAAACTATGCGGTGTCTTGGAGGAATCTTTATTGGTGGATATCGTTTCACTACCAGACACAATTTTTTTTTTTTTGCTTGCCATACTAAATGTCATATATATATATATATATATATATATAAAATTACTTCATTATACCTTTGTGTATTAATAATTCCTTATTCTTAGTATTTTACTTAGCGGGGCAACTTTAGTTGCAGGTACCTGGTGGGGAGCAAATATTATATACCTGTATACATAGGCCAAAAATATTGTATATTTTAAATATTAATATCATAATATAGGCCGAATAAACAATTTTATGAGGTGCTGAACTTTACAGAAGTTTGTATTATTAAAAAGACATTGCTAACAAAAATCTACTTCAAGCGTGAAGGTTGATTTTTCAGTGAACTTTAACCGTGTGATTCTTGAGGATAACAGGGAGAAAAGCTGATTGTTTAGAGTGTTATATATATATATATATATATATAGAGAGAGAGAGAGAGAGAGAGAGAGAGTTCTTCAAATTAGAGAGTAGGCCATTTGGTTTTTGGGCGCTCCAAATGAAGGATGTAATCTAAAATAACTAAATAAGGGCAAACATGTAGTTTAATAAATCAGAAAGACAAAAACGTAGCCGATTGTGAATCTAATTAAGTGATAATTACCTCAAGTGAAACATAAATTTTAACTATTGAAAAAGTTATTTGTTACGGTGCAAAAAAACGAAAAGATTTTCAGCAGTGACATTAAGAGTCGCCGCTGAAAGTAACAAATAACTTTTTCAATAGTTAAAATTTATGTTTTGCTTGAGGTAATTATCACTTAATTAGATTCACAATCGGCTACGTTTTTGTCTTTCTGAAAATCTTACTTTCAGCGGCGACTATAAATATTGCCAATGAAAGTAGACTTTTAGCAATGATTTTTTAGGATCACCATTGAAGTTAATTTTTAAAAGTAAGACTTTCAGTGGCAAAGTTCTGCGAGTTACAAAGGAAGCTTCTAGCTCATATTGGTCATGGGTTGAGAATAGGAATTGAATTTTATGATATCTAATTTCTTGTTGTTCCTCAGTAGCTCAGTAGTAGAATGGTACCAACTAGTTGTAGGTTCGAATCCTACTTGGAAATATTTGATTCATTTCGAATTAAAAGAATTCAAAATGAAAGAGTTCGCTTTAAACTTTTAGTGGCTACTCAATATATCACCACTGAAAGCACCTTTTATTGGTTACGTTTTCAGTCACTGCTAAAAGGTAATTCCAACGGCAACTTTTTGTCCCTGCTGAAAATCTATTTTAACTTTTTATTATTATTTTAACTTTTTTATAAAAAAAATCATATTTAAACAATAATTTTGTTCATTAATATGATTTGTTGTGATAAAATAAAGAATTTTTACACCTTGTTATGTTAGAGAGAGAGAAAGAGAGGGTTAGAAAGATAATATGGTGTGTGTGTGAGAATAAGAGAGGGGAAGATGAAGGAATGAGTGTGTGTATGAAAGTGAGATATTATAATTATGTGTAAGTGACAGTTAAATAATCATGATAAAATTTATAATTAAATTTTATTATTTTTATATACTATTTTCATATTTCATAATTATAAATATAAATATTAAAAGAAATAATATAATATCTTAAATAATTAAAAATAAAAAATATAACAAATATTTTTTTTATAAAAAATGGTTATTATAAATAAATATTTTAATCAAATAAGAAAATTAAATATAAATATTTAATAATAGTATTATTATTTAACAATATTTAATATAACAGCCTCGAAAGACACTTTTAGCGACGATATTTTTATCACCGCTAAAGGGTAAAGTCACTATTAAAAATCCATTTTAATATTTTATTATATATATTTGATTTTACAATAATCATTACTAAATTCATTCCAATTCAATGGTAAAAAGAAGGGACACAAAAAGAGGAGGTCAGGAGTTCGAACCATGAAATAGTGATAATATCCAATTGAGATATGGCACGTCGAGGTGGTGAACGACATGGCGATGGGCCGGTAATGATTTGGCCGCAGCCGACGATGGTTCTATTTTTTCTGGTGACACTTTCAATTGTTGTCGCTGAAAGCGTCTTTAACAACAACTTTTGTGTCACCGTTAAAAGAAGTCACTGCTAAAACTATACCTTTAGCGACAACATTTTTGATTGCTACTAAAGGGTAAAGTCACTACTAAAAGTCTATTTTATTATTTTATTATTATCATATATATATTTGATTTTACAATTATTATTATCAAGTTCATTCTAATTCAATGGCAAGAAGAAGGGATGCAGAAAGAGGAGGTCAGGAGTTTGAACCATAAAAAGGCCATATTTATGGTGATATTATCCAATTGGTGATATGGCGTGTCAAGGTGGCGAGTGATATGACGACGACAGACGATGGTCCTATTTTCTCCAATGACACTTTCAATTGTCATTGCTGAACGCGTCTTTAATTGCAACTTTTGTGTCACCATTAAAAGAAGTCGTCGCTGAAACTATACTTTCAGTGGTGACTCTTTTTGTCGCCACTAATAAGTTTCAGCGACAATCGCTTCAGCAATGACTTGACTGTTACTGCTAAAAACTTTCAGTGGGGCTTTTTCACTTTCAGTCACTGATGAAAATCAATTTTTTTTGTAGTGTTAAGGCTGCTAGTGGCACACACACACATGCACACACACGCATACTATCCTACTGAGAAAGATATATTGGTTCAATCAATCATAGTTTTAGAAAATAAACTTCCAGAAGGTTCATAATTTTTTCCAATCAAGCGACTATAATTATTTTAGTTTTGGGGAAGTTTAATGAAGTGCTTAACCTCCCTCCTCGAGTCTTTGGTGTCCGGTATACATATCAGAAATCAGTTGGGTGCATTATAGGTTTCGTTTTTACGAAAAATACAATATGAATTGTATTTCAGTTAATTGAAATTATGGATGGCCCACATGCATATTTTTATTAATTAGGAGTATTGGCTTTTAGACATTGCTTATGCTATAACTCACTTATTATTACTTGAATTAGCCTTATAAGGTGGTCACGGCTTTACTAATTTAGCAATTCAACAATGATTCTACACTCTTATTATCTTAACTAGCCAGGTGACTGAGATTTTAATTTTAAATACTCTTTTCATATGATATTTAAATAATGTGTGCTAATTTATTTTCTTTTGACCTGGATAATAATTTAAGCTTTTTAAAGGATTGCTTTTTGTGTTTTTTAATATTTAATTCAAGCTAAGAATATATTGACTGGGAAATATCGGTATTTGAGATCAATAGATCAATTTAATATCAGCTTGATGCCAAAACGATTTGAAAGTTCAATCAGGACCTAAAGGTCACTGCGTCATTTTCCCAATGTAAAATTTCAATAATTTTGCTTGATGTCCGTCTTCTGAAATTTGACGTTACCCAAATTTAATTTGACAAGGAAGCTAGCATCGGGAAATTTTTTTTAATATTTTTGTTGAAATATGGAACATAAGTTACAGGTAAATGAATTTATAGTTAATATCTAATTTGAAAAAGATAGTGACAAACTCTTGTAACTAGTTTGAATAAATTAGCACATCTTTTTTTTTTTTAATTGTTAAAGGTTGGAATATCGATCCATTGCAAATCATTTTACGGTTAAGGTGAAAATTCGAAACATAAATGTGAAACTCTTATGCCCGCCAGAAAAAGAAAGGCTAAAGTATACATTTTTTTTTTTGAGCTGAGGCTAAAGTATACATTTAGTATTTTAACTTTGTACAAGATTTTAATTTGGTCTCTTAATTTTAAAAAGCATACATTTGGTCCTTTAACCCTAAAATCATTAGGCTCTAATGATGATTTTTTGTAATAATCATAGATGTTTCAAAAATTAAACTCAATATATTGGCATTTGAGAATATTTTATCAACATTTAAGATTTTAATGTCATTATTTTTTCAAAAAAATTTAGAGTTAAAGGACTAAAAGTATATTTTTTAAAGTTAATGGACCAAATTGAAATCTTATACAAAGTTAAAGGACCAAATATATACTTTAGCTAAAAAAAATGTGAAACTCTTATAACTAGATAAATATAACACATTCACGAAAAAAAAGAAGAAGATAAAGTAACACATTGAATTTTTACGAATCAATCACTTTGATCTTTTTTTTTTGGTGAACTATTTTGACATTCCAATTTTTTTATTTGAAACTGAAATTAAAATGGCCTTTTTGTTCCTGAAGTGTCATCATTTGATTAGGGGGGAAAAATAATACTGTGACATTCATGTGCAGTACTAGTGCAGATCGATGAAATAAATTAATCTCATATGAACACACTGTTAATGAATCGATTTTGACCTCGTGTTCATGAATCGATTAATGTTTACAATTTACATTATTCTATAAATGCAACTTAAAATATTGGGGCCTCATGAATTGTTGTGTAGAAATTAATTACGAAGCTAATTATATTGCCCCCCTTTCTCATAGATATCTGTCAAAGTATCAATTTATTATAGTTTTGATCTTAGGTTTATTTTCATTTAAAATGCTAATTCTTATATTTTAATAAGAACTAGGACCGTTTTATTCTCAAAGGATCATGGTTTAATTCAAAACTAGGAAAAATTACAAATAAAGACCCCAATATGTAAAATTGCAATTTGAGATTTTGAATTTGAAAAATAACAAATAAGGACTGAGTCCTACTTTTGCAACTATGAAATGCGAGTGAAATGTCTGAAATGTTCCTCAGCTAATTTGTGATTTAGTTTATTGAAGTTGTCATTCGCTAAAGTGAATTTGTTATTTCCCATAGCCAACTTGTCATTTGGCATACTCTCAGTCAAGTTGTGATTTAGTCTATTGAAATTGTCACTCGTTAAAGTGAACTTGTCATTTCCTATAGTCAACTTGTCATTTGGCTGAGAGACATTTTAGATATT